CCAGCTGGTTTTTCTCCTCTATGGCCTTGTCAGCAAGCCTGTCGGACTGTCCTGAATCTGTTATGGCCATTTTTTTTTTTTTTTTTTTTTTTTTTTTTTTTTGTTCTGACTGAACACTCAGGCTGTTGCTGTTGCTATGCCTCTGTAAGAGCCCTGTGCTGATGTTGCAGCCAGTCCCCCTCTGGATGTGATACCTGCTGCCTTTGTAGGTAGCAAGTTTTAATTGTAATGATATCCCTCATGTGATTCAAGTATTAAGCCTTGGACTTTTCTACACTACATTGGTGATCTTTTCTGCCCTGTGCTGCTACTATGAACTGCTTGCTGTTCCTTGTTCTTCCTTTTCAGCCCTATTAGAGACCTTCTACGTCTTTCTGAAACTTCTCTCATTGAAATATATGAAGTTTCTGCTCATCTAGGGAGACAGAAATGAGAATGGAGAATTTTGTCCCAACCCTTATTTCAGAGGGTCGGTACTGCAATTCTGTTGTACAAAAAATTTCAGATGTGAATCTCTGATTCCTTGTGGAGAGAATACCTCATTTGGGGTTTTCCCATTTCTGGTTAGCGTCTTAATGATTTGGGAGTTTTGATGCAGTGTTTCTTGGTTGTCATTCCTCACTACCGCCCCCAGCTTGGTTTAATTTAGCCATGGAGCAAAAATTCTCAAAACTCCTGATGACTCATGAGCACCTGTAGATAGCTAGAAGTGTTGGATGAATTAGCAGTGCCATCACTTGCTATTAGGTCCATGACCACCCATGTGTAACACGCTACACCTGGAAAGAAGCAGAGTGACCTGAAGGGGCAGAGAGTTTAAGGCGGATGAGCACAATAAACAAGTGATTTATGTCTGACAGCCTTACGCTTCAGTAGTGCCAATGCCTCCCCAGCCCCTTAGTTACAGCAAGCTGTGCATAGCGTCAAGCTTGAGGCAGTTGATGGAGATAAGAATCTTGAAGAGAGAGAGTATTTAACTTGTCCATCTCAGTTGTATCCTGCCCTGTGGTGTGAAGATGGAGGGCACCAACCACTTGACCCAGCTGAGCTCTTGGTGCTGGAAGATGTGAGGCAGCAAGAGCTACCTACCTGGCTTCTCTGCTACAGCTGGCTGGTTTACCCCGAAGGAAGGAATGAGAAACACATTATTTAAATACTTTTACATGGCTTCGTGTGTGCTGGCATATATGTGGAGAGGCCAGGCATCCTGAGCTTTGAGGAGGAACGTAATAATCTCACCGAAGTAACTGCATATGTGCCAATAAGATCAGCAAATTGTTCAGTAAAACAAAAGCAAGTGAATGTGGAAGACTCACTGCTTTTATTAAATAACTTTTTTAAAATGTAGCCCTCAAGCAGCCCATCTCATACATATGTCTCTCAAGCGTAACAGAGGTAAGGCAATTCACATCCTGCCCTGGTTCATTGCATTAGGGGACCTTGAGAAGAGGAAATGGCATCTAGAAATGTGGAGCTCTCCAAAAGACAGACTTTCCCATTAATGTCAATGAAACGATTTCCAGTTCCATAATAAATCCCTTTGCATAATTCTTCCACTATTTATACATCTCATAAAGATTCATCCTGCATGGAACAAAAGGGAAGGGGGAAGGGAAGGAGGAAGCTCCAGGGAGGAGGGGGAATTAATAGGATTACATGTGGGCTGGGGAACTGACATTGAGTGTACCCTGTCCTAGAAAAGCAGTGGTTGAAGCCGCATCATATTTATTTTAGTAGTGCAGATGAGAGATGGTGCTTTGTATTACATTTCTAGGCTTCATATCACGTTTTCTCCCTCTGCTGGCAGCTGGATACAGTGAAGTTGTAACTGACAGAGAACAACAAAACTCTCAGGGCTCAAACATTTAGGAACCTCAAAACTGTGGCATGTGCTAAAAATTAGGTCACACCATACTTTAGTCCAATTAGTCCTGGAAATGGCTGAAAAGCATCCCTTGAACAGATCAGACTAATTCTTACAGAGGATTTAAAATACAGCAAAATCCAGACCTCTTTTCTTCAGAGAGACGGCGGATTCTCCCTTGTTAGTGTAATAGTAAATAATCCCTATGGAGTCAAACTTGGGAGTTAGTTACCGTTTCTAAAATGACTTACCTGAAGCTGTTCTTTCAGAAAATGGCATTTCTTGGATTAGTATTTCAGTGATTTTCTGTTCTAATAGAGCTCAGTGATTTCTGGAACTTTCTCCTTGCTTTTTTTTTTATTTAAATTATTCTTTTGAAAAGATTTCTATGATGTATTGGCTCGAGAAGACCTGACTACTTAAGAGCAAACAAAAAAGCACTAATAAATAAAGATTATTTTTGTTCCAAGGAAATTTTATAGAACAATGAATTTCTAAATAAAATCATACAAATGTAGTAGAAGCAAGCATTTAGTAATGTTACTGTCTGATTGGAAAAATAAACAGTACAGATTAGGTAGGAAAAACTAGCACGCAAAAAAAGATGATCTTAACTAAAACACAAGTACTCCATTCTGCTCTGTAGGACTGGGTTATTAACCTAGCAAATGATGTTATTCTAATGACCAAAAATGATAAACTATAAATCTTAGGAATATATATTGGCTTGGAATGATTATGTATTCCCCATAGCAAGTCAGAATTGGTACTATTGAATTAATAACATTAAGCTTCTTAACTGTTCTTTGAGATACTGTAGTAAATATAACAGCCATTTTATGGTTGAATAAACTGAGGCAGAAAGAAGTTTGTTCAATGGTCTACGAGTACTGATTATTAATCCTGCTTTTACTAATAGGTATTTTATTAAAAGCAGGTAGAGATTTTATTTTTCTTTTGAAGGAATGTATTTAGAGCAGTAGCTGATGAGGCTCAGAGAAGTAAACTGTATTTAGTGGGAACATGGCTGGGGGAAAATGCAGGCAGATGTCTCTGCTTAACTTGAATATTCCTTCACATCTGTGAGGAGAAGCAGTGCTGGGAGGACAATTCTGCAGTCTGTTGTAAAATAGAACTGAATTAGCACTGCCACACCAAGCACAGGTGGGGCTGGGATGCCAGGGGGACTCTTCAGCTTTGTCACAACTCATTTTAGGGTGTCAATTAAAAGTACAGAAAGTGAATAAGCAAGAAGAGCTTTAAATTCTAGAAGTATTAGTAGTGCTTGGAATAGGAGCATCCTGGATTTTTTTCGCCCTTCCCCATAGGGGTGGTCGACCTTCCCCCATAGGTGTTTTTGCCATCGTCTCATCATCTACCCAAACCTGAAATGGCTCAGTCAATGGGAGATGCCTCTTCACACAAGCTCATCTGTTTGCCAGTTGCAATTTTTCTGTGATGGTTAGGGGTCTTGTACTCTTTTTGCCCCTGAAGTAATACAATATCTTTTGTTTCTTAACTACCTGTCATAGTTAGTTCCAGTGCTGTTGGTCCAGCTCCTTCACTTTTATCATCTGCTTTGCACTTAAAAGATAATGTCTGTTTTTATACTGCTGAACTGTATATAAAAATATTCATAGAATAATTGATGGGAAAGGTTTTCATGGTATAATTAACACCTTTGTATTATTATGGCTATAGGTAACAATAACGAATTTTTGTCCACATTTCAATCTCCATCTGAGACCACAGCATCCAAAATAGTACAGTTTGGGGAGCTCATATTGTGCTGTCTTTCCTGTTCATAGTGCTGAAGTGGATATTAACTTCCTTTTTCTCTAGATTGTTCTTTTTTTCTTAGTAATCCTCAATTTAAATGTCCACATAACTTAATTTGTTGAACTCTGCCATTTTTATAGCACGTATTGTCAATTTTGTGTGTCAGCAGAGATGTTTTAACCATATTTAAAAATAAAAAAATTTTAAAAAAGGGCCTCAGTCAGCTTTGAAATATATAAAACATTTTGATGCGTGGATCGTAGTGTGAATTTGTAACTCTGACTTTTTCTTCGGGTGAAGATCTTAGCATTTGCTGATGATGTCTCTGTTGACTTCAGAGATGTTGCTCACCTTTCACAGCAGAAGATAAAGCCTCATAATTCAGCAGAGCCAGAGCCTGAGCACAGAATGCTGAATAGAGATCTGAATGTTGACCTCAATAGTACATCCCTGAAGTTGAGTACTTCCTGAATCCCGTTATTGTCTGGTTTGCTCCTGTAGCTCTTGTGGAGCATGTTGTGACAACCTGAATATTTTTCCATCTTCAACAAGATGCTTGTGGAAAGGGTGCATTGAAGGAGTTCTGACAACAGTATCTGATTTGAGTTCAGCAGTTAATAACTGTTGTTACCACCTTCCCCAAATACTACTTTGCTGCTAACTCCTCTGATCTCCTCTGGATTTAGAAACTAAATGCTGAAGCATGTTTGAATAGTGTTTGTAGTGATGGGACTGCTTATGTTGGTTGCTAAAGGCCTCCAGCTTCTACTGGCCTCTATGAGATTTGGAGTCTCAGCCTTTGTTAGCCTCGGGCCCTTAGAAAATATTTATTTTTCTTTCCATTACATTGTGATAGGGATGTAGATTTCCTAAGGGACTTTCTTTGTTGGGTCTTGTTGTGCTGGGTTGTTTTGTTTTTTTTTTTAAATGTTTCTTTGTGGGTTTTTTGCCCCTTCTCTTTCCACTGAACTGGGTTGAGAACATATTGAGACTTTGTTTATCACAAGGACCACTCCCTCATTCCCTGCCCTATGATCAAATGTAATGTCACGTTGGCCAGCTGACTGTAAGAATTTCCTTTACCAAAAGCAAGTCAGCAAGCACGATATGTCCTGCAGCATCTTGTAATTTAGAAGGTGTGTAAGTGACAATGTATAGAAGATGTGTTAAGTATCGAGTTGATAGCAGAGTCAAGAAGAAAATAGTCACACCTAGTAGGATATGTGTGTGTGATTAGTATAGTCAGTATGTATATACCACTGAAAGAAAATAAACCTGTGCATACTATTGCTAGGCTTCTAGCAGTGGTCCTTATTCCTCACTTTTCCACATGCACAGTGTCATTCTTCTTTCCTAGATGTTAATCTCACTGGAGCAGAGGCCAAATTATCAGCAGAAAATCTCAGTGTGTGAAAGATTTCATTCACTGGGTAAGTACAGATTTTTTTTAACTTTTTCTTCCCCTTTTATTTCTGAATAAAATAAATAAGTACCAAAATCTTTATCTCCCTGAAAGTGCATACTAGTCAGTACTCAGACCTTGCATGTGTGCTCAAATAGATATTGTATAAATGGGAACACAATGTTGGCAACTGCCTAAGTGCTTAGTAGTTGGAGGGGTAAAAAAAAACGTTGGAAGAAAGGCTGGAAATTATGGTTAAATGTTTCATTTTTGTCTACTTGCATTGCCATACATTAATTATATTCTCTTATGAATCATAATACAATGCATGTTCATGCTGACCCAGCTATTCAACTATTGTATATGTCTGACAGCCTGGTCCTAATAGCTTTTTGCCCTATTAACATGTCACTGTGTGGAAAGACACATTAAAGTGGTTCTAATGTGTTCCAAGTGTATGGTCCTATTGAGCGTATTGGATATTTTAGCTGATGGGTTTCATGCAAACAACAAGTATATTTAACCTATGGAAATAGGGGGAAAAAGCACCTCACAGGAAATGCTCACTTGCAAAGTAAAACTGTTGCCCTTCTCTATTTGGTGTCCACTGGTTGAGACTTAGAGGAAAGAGATTCCTTTAGTGTGCAGTAAGCACTGTGGCTCTATTCAAGCACATGGGAATACACCTCACAAGTGACCTTGCAAGAAAGAAGGTACAAGAGGAAAGCAGCTAGAGAATATGGGAAGGTTGGAAGGAAAATAGCATAAGATTGTTCAAATATCCAGCATGTGAGCAAATTAAAAAATGACAGTAGTGATCATCACATGCAATTGTGTCAGCCATGAGGGGCTGCTCTCATATTTTAACTCAACTGCATATCTCTTTGCTTCTTCCTCTTCCAGCTCTAGCCTGGCATAATTTTGCTTATGGTCCATACTCTGCAGTCTGAATGTGTTTGTTATGTTATCAGCCTTCCTGCTGGGACCCTTGTTGGGTATATTTTGCTTGTGTGTCACAGGGTGCCTGACTCAGGATGGCGCTTCAGCTCACGTGCAATGAAATCCAGGCAATGCCACGTTTCTTCAATACTGGATTTACTTGTTTTATTGGGAGTCAGGAAGATTTGAGAAGTTGAGGTAATATACTATAAAGCATGTATTATTCAGCCAATATTTCTGCTTTTCCTATTTGTGCTTTTTCAGAGATCCATAAAAGCTGCCCAATATTTGCAGTGAGTCAATGGGTTATTGATTCAAATTCTTCCACTTATTTTTGCAGAAATTTCTAAGCAACGTTGAAGTTTTATTGAGGAAGCTTCTACCAAAAATAGACTGTGGTTTGCACACTGCTTGTGAACATTTACTGGAAGTTTGTATTGCAGTAGGTGGCAAAATACAACATGTGACATGGTTCCTGTCTTCTGTCAGAATGATTATGAGTAACCAGCAAATTTGGGCATTTGGAGTTGAAAAGAAGTCATCTGCTGAAATTCAAAGGTGTGATTTGGTTAATGGGTTACTTATATATATATATTTAGGAATCTGAGCATTAACACAATGTTTTTTTCAAGTAGTATTTCCTGAGCAATGGCGCAATGGAAGTTTAAGTAATAACTTTAAAGTGAGTAAATGCAATGAGTTGTTTTCCAAGGCTAAACTGCACTTTTTTTCTGGTAAGTGAAGCAAAGGAGGAGAAATTGGTTTTTTTTCAGATATGTGGAAAGAAAGGGAAGTGAAAGAATCCTATGATTTTTCCAAAATATATGTATATACAGTTTCTTGAAGTACTTGATTTTCAAGGAAAAATTTGTGTAGCTCTGCCTCTCCAGATTACCATGGTGGAAGAGCAACTCAGGCTTTGCACTGGTTTTATACTGTGTTAGATTCAGCAACTTTGTACAGTAATAACAGTAATAACAGCTTTTCCTGACTTGGTGTTTCTGTCATATGCTACACATCCAAGCATGTTATATTACTTGCTCTGTCAATCTGCTAAGTCAGTTATTCAAAGATAAACTCATTTCAAAAGAAGTCTAGATATTCTTGCCTATTTGGCATCTATGAGAAGCTATGTTCAAATTAGAAGCAATTACGTTCTCCATTTCTGTCTTTACCCTTGATTATAGTCATTGCCAATCTTGGAATTTCAAATATTTTGTTAGGTTGCCTCTACACTGTTTCCACTCTCTCTGCAATATGACCTTTTTACAAGTTAACATGCGAACAACAAAATTTTGCCTTGCTGCACAAAGGACACTCCAGTTGCAGGTGTAAACAAGATGCCGTCCTGGGTAAAAGGTTGCTCCCTGTGGCTAGGTCCTCTCTGCCAGCAGAAGACAGAGGTGAAGAAAGACATCCATGGACAAAACCAGCTCCAACTGCCTGCCACTGCCCACAGCACTGGAGGGAGGGCAAACATACAGAGCTGAGAAGAGGAAAACAACGCAAAGTGTTCATGAGAAGGCAGTGTTTTAATGCTCAGTGGTGCTCTTAATGAACAGAAAACAAGGAAGAGCCATCAAAAAAAGGGTGCTGTTCTCACACTTTCCAAACCACCAAATGTCATAAGCCAAAGCAAGAAAATGACCTATGTTTTATGATTTATAGTTTTTATCATTATGCATCCACCTGCATTCCTGGATTTTGAATTGCCCTGTGGAGGATAGCGTCTCTCTGCACTGACTGCACAAGGCAGCTAGATAGATCAGCCGCTCTAGGAAAGTGTTTTAGAAAGCTTGTCCAAAGCTAAAGGTTATCCTCATCCCCCAGCACACCTTCCTTTTATGCTATTCTCCATTATGACATTTTAGAACAGAAATATTTTGTCTGTTTTTTCCCTTAAGAAAGTTATATTTGCAGACTGCTGAACAGGAGAAAAAAAATCTCTGCAAACTGATGCATTCTTTTTACCCTCATTATTTTTTCCTTGCTTTCACTTATTTTTATAGCTCTGTCTTTCTTCCTTCTCACCAGATTGTTTATACTTAAAAAGAAATAAGCCTTCTGCTTGTTGCATAGTCAGTTCTCTTTACATTTTTCTTAAGTTAACGTTGGTTTCTGTTGTCCTTTTCCATGTTTAGACATAACCAGGATAAATTTCAATGACAGCCTTTCCAACTGTTTCTAAATATTTCTCACTCTTCTTGCAGACAAATTTCCATATGCTGCAAAATTGAAATCAAAATTCCATAAGGCACTCACTCCATCCCTCCAGCCATCATCCCAAAAGCAAAGGGGTTCATTTTGTTCAGGTGGAGCTCGCTTTCTCCGCCCCCAGTGCCAGCAAATCTGTTTGGTGTGGGAGGACGGTGGAGCGTGCCGCCCACAGCCACCTGCTCTGCCGGAGGGCCCACAGCCTTGCCAGCACTGTGCCAAGGCACCAGCTCGGGGTGGGAGTCAGCAGGAGGCAGGCATCAGCTGGGAGATGTGCTGCTCTGCTTCTCCCTTGCTCCTGGGTGACCTTCGCTGATAAAGGCAAAGACCAATTTGTAGGGTTGTTTTTGTTTTTTTTGTTGTTGTTTTTGGTTTTGTTTTGTTTTCTAAATCACCCTCTTGGAAAATAATATCTTGTCTTGCCTATTGACTTTTGGTCTAATATAAGCATATAGTCTCAGTTTCCTAGCTGAGCTGGTGATTCAGATGGAGCACAACTACTTCCTTGATTAAACCAGTCAGCAGTGTGCACAGCCACAGTACTGGAATAATAGCATCTGCATTGGAAGTGTGGCCATCTGGGAAGGAGCTTTCTTGGCTTCTAGTAAGACATCATTTTATGCAGACATGGCCCTACATATGGTTTTGTCTGCTGCTTTTTACCCAACACTCTCAACCTGAAAACAAACAAAAAAAAACCATTTCAAATCTCATGGACAAAAAATGGAAGCCAGAGGCTCTTTTCTGCCCTGTAGTCGCCTATTATTGGTGGATTATATGCAGCTGTTCAGCTGTACTGCCTGCAGACACTGCAGCCTGGCTGTAGCCTGGACTATGTTCTCTCTATAATGTCTCTGTGGGAGAATGATGCCAGGTCAGTTTCTTAGCACCATGCTTGGAAATCTTGCAATGCATTATTGCAATAGGTTTTTTTTCAAACTAGGGTTAATGAGTAGTCTTCAGAATAAATGACTTCTTTTAGCCTCCCTGCTCCTTAGCAAATGGGTATCCCACCAGAGAAGACAGTGAGAGTGATATGAATTAGGTTACTGATTACTGTTGGTTTAATATAGCTGAGCTTATGTCAATTGTCTATTAAGCTAATAACAAGTTCATAAATGAAGTTTGCTGAAATGTAATTGACACCCCAATCCTATAGAACTATTTAATGCTAGGATCAAATTAAACATGTATTGATTAGGTACAGGTTGCCTCTGATTCTCTTGCTGTTTCTGCTGGGAGTTGCTTGCAGAGCATCTTCCACATCCTGTTGGCTTGTGGGTGCCTGCTTTTGCCCAGGAGTTCATCAGGGCTTTGAGCATACAGGAATGTGAGCGCTGTGGACTGTGCACTAAGCCCCACTTCTCCTGCAGCTATCTCAAAAAGCCTAGGTGATGCTCTCTCACCTTGGCTCCTGCATATTGTTCCTTCTTTCTTCCAGCAGACAATCAAAAGAACATCTACTTTCTGCTCTGTGAATTTTTCTAGCGTATAGTAGCACAGCTGTACTTCCATGCTCTTTGGGAAAAATTGCGTGTCTGGATGCAATGACACAGAGTCTTTTTACTTTCAGATTAGCCAGAGGCTTTTGGAACATCAGATAGCACTGGATACCGGGACTGATGATGAAGTCATCCTCAGAGGAGCCTGAGGGACTAACTGCTGCTTTGTAAGTTTTTCTGCAGTGTTTCCCTGGTGTCTGAGGAATCCTGGGGTGCAAGAAAAGAGGTGGGGGACCATGCAGTTGTCAAGAAACATCACTTTTTCCATGCGTATGTGGAAGTCCTATTCAATTTCTTTTTAATGAATGATCTAGGTGCAGGAGTAGGAGGGGGGAGTAGTAGTCAGTAATAGCACTCTTTAGATGTACTTTCTTTGTTTCTTTTTTTTTTTTTCTTGCCTGTATTTCTTGGTTAGCTGAAGGAAAAGTACCATGATTCAAAAATAGTTGTGAATATTCCTTAAGACCTCCTTATACATTGATATTTAAAACAATATCAGAAGTAGTGAACAGACTACAGACTTCACCATAAAAAGGTGCAGTACTTAAAGAATAACATGAATTTATATGAAGCCATAAAGATAATAATATTGAAGGGTTTGTAATTCCTCAGTCTCCCAATGATTGCTAGTAGTAATGCAATCATTTTGCAATGCCTTCTATTTTCATTACTTAAGTTGTCACATAAATAAGGTGTCAAAGTTTTAATACTTTGCCAACAGTATTCTCTAAATTACAGTAATGTAGTATACTACTTTGACCTTTTCAATATTGTGCGACTTGGTTGGCTGGTCTTTCTATTTATGGCCATGCTGAGTACTGCAATATGAGTGAGTGGATACCAGCTAACAAAAATACAGAATACCAGGAAAGTCAAATGAAGGTACTATGTGAGAACATAATGCAGTATTTCATAAAAAGTATAGCATTAAGTATTGAAATTCTGATAAATCATTCTTGTGACAAAAGGTATAACGAGATTAGAAATTGCAACAAAAAATTAATCCTTTCTAATGACATAGATTGTGCATAGGCAGGGAAATGGTGTGAATTTAACTTGATCTCATTATTACTCCTAAATTTTTAATCTCATTTTCTTCCTTAGATGCTTCACTTAAGAAGTCAGTGGTGTGTACGTGTGTGTGTGATACATTCTATATCTGGGAAAAGTTACTTAATCCTTCAACTTCAGTGCACCAGGAAGAGTGAGTAATCCTCAGTGCAGAGGGAAACTTCCCCTTAAGATTTGGAAGAGTCTTTTCATTCTTAACGAAGGCTCTGCAGAAGGAAGCCAAGGTTGACTGGCTCCATAAATCTTCCCCGTTCCAGTGGCCTCAGCCCTTACAAAGCCTGTTCCAGGCTGTGAGGAGAGATGCTTGCAGAATAATTAGAGCACAGAAGCCTCCAGTCAGGATATAGATTACAGAGATGAGGGTTTTTTTGTACCAGAGCTACGGTTTGTACCAGAGTGTGCCTGCAGAAGACACAGGAGCTTTTCTTTAGCCAGCCATTACTGTCTGGATTGTGATTTTTTTATTCCCTTTCTCCATGAAGTGGGTGGATTAGGTGAGGGAGATGAAGATTGTCATGTAGGAGCAGGTTATGTATTTTCTTTCCCTTTTTGCCATATTTGGTCAGATATGCTGTCTGGGTACTAAACGATTGCACTGAAGGCTCTGACAGTTTTAGCTGTGATCATTTGTCCTGAGAGGATAAAAGACTTAAGAACCTGCTTATTCCTGTGTAACCAGAAACATGAGCACATGCAGAAACATCATTCCCAATGCTCAAATCACAGCTGAAGTAGTGGAGTTCCAACCTAAAAATCTTGTACACTCACTAAGCAGGAAAAATAATGTAACATTCAGGTTTCAAGCTGCCGTCAGGTCTGGATATGCAGTGATTTCTGTCTCATCCCTGTATTGAGAATATGCATGAGCAAGTACTGAGACATTTAGGAGCTCAAATTAGCCTCTTCTCTTAGCAACTTCCTTCTTCCCACACCTCAAAACACTCTCACCAGTCTTTCCCTCTTTGTGATCCACCTCCAGTATCTGAGCAACACTGAAGTTTCCATAATGCAAGCCATTTATTACAAACCTAATGTAGGCATCTGGCTGGAGAGTGAAGACAGTGGTAGAGCTTACTTTTTTCTCCTATCCTCTGCCCCTAACACAACCACTGGAAGCAGCTAACACCAAGGAGCTCAGTGCATTGCACAGGAACTCCACCTGCCTCCACCACTCATTTGCCTCTAGCTATCAAGCTCGTTCCTGTTTTCAGTCTCTTTCCTGATCTCTGTCTCCCTGATGGCAACTTGTCTCACCCATTATCTTCCACTCTCTTTGATTCTCTCTTTACCCAGCTGTTAACCTCAAATGCTCCCATGTCTTCCATATCAGCCCTGTCCATCTGTTTTGTTACTAAGGAAAATTTTCTTCTTCTCCTCCCCACGACGCCAGTCCAGACAAAATCTAAGCACAGCACAAGATGAGATCTCCCCTTCCAAGTCACTGTTGCCCACTGTTGGGCCTCAACATACAAAAGATTTAATACAGTTGACCTGGTGCTATTTCTTCCAACAGCAGCAATATTTAACATAAACACTACTACCTTTTATATTTCAAATCCCTTCATCAAAGCATGACATGAATAACTTGAATGTTTTTGAGGCATCACTTAGAATTTCTTCTAATCTGGGCAAAACTCTGTGTGAGCACAGTATTATATTTGTATTCTATACTCAGCACAGCTAATTAACTTGAGGCAGAAAGTGGTGTAGAACAATCCTATCCAAATGATCAAGCTTTGGCAAAGTCATTAGCTGCTGAAAGTGTGTTTAAAATGGAAAGTGTTGGGCACCCTTACTGTTATGTAGAAATAACAGTCGTGCCCATAGTAAACAGTGTGTTGGTATGGCTGGAAACAGCATTTGAGAAGACACATGACTGTTGGACAAGAAAACATGTTGCTCACTGAAAATTTCCACCTTTGCGCAGTTCTTTGTGTCCTCGAGGATTTCTCTTTCTCTCTAGTTTCTAGAAGCTTCTTTAGTTTCCATTGTGAGAGGTGGAAATTGGTAACAGAAAATATGCTTTTTCCTTGTTTACAGATATATTTGAATTTTAAGAAATAACTCCACGGTAGCATTATGACTAGTTAAGCATGTGCATTTCTAAATTTATTGTAGCAAAATAGAATTCAGTTAGAAATGAACTTTCAGTGGGTGAAAATAATGAAGTTCAGATTTGAACAGTTTGCAAAATCCTTAGGAGATGGAAAGGTCTGTTACTCTGGGGGGCTTCTGAAATATTAGGCAAAATTCAATGCTGGCACTGGAATGCAACAACGATCTGGCGGCTTAAAAGCAATGAGCCTGCTATTATTTGTTCTGAAAAGTCATATAACAGTCAATTTATAAAATCCCTTTAGTTTGTCGGATTTACTACCTTAATGTAGCTTGACTCTTGACTACAGCATACAATTGGCACAATTAAAAAAAAAAAAAAAGTTATTGAAGTGAAGTCCTTCCAGATTTGTCATCATATAGTGTCACATGCCTGCAGAGAGCAGTGGAAATTAATGCAATGACCCAAACTCATTTCGTGGCAGTGACATGTCACCTTGAGCAGTTGGAAGAGGTCTGGAAGCATCATCTGACACTCTCATCCCCAGCACCTGTTGAAGCTCCTCCAACCTCTCCCATACAACATAAATCAGGCATGTTTACGTCATTCAGTTGGCATTGCAGAGTCCTCTGCACTCCATCTCAGAGATGCAGATAACCTGCTCACTTATCCAAGTTCACTTAGTGGGTAAGTATTCTGAATTTAAACAGCTTTAGGGAAAACAAGCTTTGGAAGAGACAGCTAGGCAAGTTAAATGTGATTCACATTAACAGCAATTTGTAAAAGCTTAGTTTTACCAAAGATTACATCCACTGTTAAAAAGTGTTAACTTGAGTAGGCAGGGACTGGTGATAAACACATTACCTGCAGCCTGGAGGAGCAGCACTGTATTGCCACATGGAAATAAGGTCATGCCACATTGTTGAATCTGGATTTGGATCCAAATCCCCACAGATGTTTGGTGTTTACACTAAATGTTGCAACACTTTGCAAATCACATTTAAAGTGGTCTCTATAAAATGCAGTTTGACAAGCTGCCTATCTTCTTTTAGGGTAAGGATTTGGGACAATTTAAATGAAAAGAAGCAAAACACTGAATGCATCCAGAATTACGTTTTGTGCCTTGTAAAACTTGCTGCAGTGAGGCATTCTTCTCAAAAGGCCTTCTTGCACCTCTTCTTCGAAGAACACATCTTTCATAATGTGGGAACTGTTATTGATGTGAACCTTTGGGCTGTGAGCCAAATTGGTGTAGTTACCACATGGGTGCTCCTGTTATCATAATGTACCTTAATACTCCATCTTCCTCCTGGAAGCAGATGCTGTGGGGATGGGTGAGTGTTAGGAAACTGCTGACCCCTAACAAGCTGAATGCAGGGCTGGTCCGTGGCAGCTGTTCTGTGTAAAATCTTTTGTGCATCTTTTCCAGGTACATGTGATGCCTCCTCAGGGTCTCAGCGCTACATCAAAGAAGTGATAAATGACTTCAGCTCTGTAAGAATGTTATGGTGAGAAAATGCATCTTTTGTCATTGTTCTTATTTTGTTTCTCTTCTAGTTTTGTTTGTTTGGTTTTTATTTTTCTGTTTCTCTACATCAGTAGAATTAAATAAAACTCAAGCCTGAAAATCAGCCATTTCCATCAAAAAGGTTTCCATAGCACCTCAGAGTTTCAGCTTTGGTGTACAGATGTTCCGTAGGATGGCGTAGACTGGAGCATGGAGCTCGTTTGCTACTAGGCAGTGTTCAGCTGGGAAGCTCACTGTATGCCTGTAGATGGAAAAGGAACACAAGCTATTGGAAATACCATTTGTTGAGGTGTTGCAGTAATTTAAAGCATAACTCCCTTTTAGGTCATGGCTTATCCTTTTTCATTTCCATTCTTTTATACTTAGCAGTCACAAAGAAATCAGATCTTTTTCCATGAAATGCAAACACTTCATAGAGTAAGAATTAGAACAGAAGTTCATTTACTTGAGAAAAAATTAATTTCTTCTGAAAATTTTCAACTACCCACAGTATTAAAATTTCTTAATATGTATTTTTTTTGCTTTCCTACTGCTTAAAAACCTGCTTTACCATTTGTTAATGAATAAAAAGGATCAGTGTGGGCAGCAATGTGCTAATAAAATGGAACTGGTTAAACCACCGTTCTATTTTTCCATTCTTTCCTTTGTTACGCTGCCTTGCACTCAGGTGATACTGTTAGAAAAAGTTGAAACAATCTTCAAGTGATTTGAAATTTGCATCTCTCATGGAAAACGATAGACTGATTGTAACATTATTTACAGTGAAGAAATCAGTGCTGAGATTTAAGAAAAATATACCCAACTTCCCTTACTTGTTTCTCTAGCATTTTTTTCCAGCAGTTGGACAATTGCATAAATCTGAAAAGCAAAAAGAAGGAAGTGCATCCCTACAGCTGGTGGCATCACAAGTGAAGCCTCAACAGAGCAAGTTCTCATGTGAATATTACAAAGGTACCATTTTGTGCCCATAGTTTGATGAACCTCAGCCATAGTTTGCAGAGCCACTTCCTGCAGTTGAGGCATGGAGCCCTCACTTCAGAGCTTGGTCTGAGTGGGCACAAAGACTCATTGGACTGGATGTGTCTTTGAAGTGCATACCCTGTAGTGCCGACTGTCCTACCCTGCAGTCACATTGTCTCTTCTGCTACCAAGAGGTTTCATTTCTTCCACAAATATTTGAGGCTCACTCTAACAAGAAGTCATCTCAACAGGAGCACATGTTAAATAAAGCAGAAGTGTGA